TAAGGCCAGATAGAATAATTACTATACAAAGACGGCAAATAAATTGGTTTGCCCATGTAAAGAAAATGTTTTGCGATGCTATACCATACAAGGCACACACCCTGAGCAGAGGGACGTTCCGCACTAGGGGATGAACGAAGAACAAAACGGAATGACAACATCAACAAAGTCTTCAATTGTACAGTACGTCTATGCTCAATGTAGCTAGAAGTGCAAGACTCAGAACCGTATATCATTCCCGACATTAATCAACGAATGAATGAATGAATGAATGAATGAATGAATGAATGAATGAATGAATGAATTGACTTCACTGCACTGGGGACATTCCCGCAAGTTCTCGGTCTCCTTCTTCATTAACCAACAAAAAGTTGGGATGCTAATAGTACCAGTTGCAACCTGATTAAAAGTCCGTCTTTATTTCCCTCTCAATGTTGAACGTCTCCCAGAATCTCCTCACCCCACCTTAACCCAACTCCACCAGGGCATCAAAAGACCCACAAGGGCACCAAAAGACGAACAAAGAAGAAATCTGCCTTAGCTAGTTTTGATATGTAATGAACAGATATCTGCTTATGAACTTTTTACTTCTAGAGAAGATCAAACGCTGTGGGGCAAGCTTAAAAACAATAAAAAAAAAAAAAAAAATAACAGCAAAAACAAGATTTGTTTTTACTTGATCATTGCAAATGCATTCTCCACGGCACTAGATGCTGATGGCGGCGTATTGTCTTTCAACAGTGCCTCGAGCTGGAAAACAAAATATTTATTTACAATTGATTAAAAAGTCTAAAACAGATTCATTGTTATTAGATGTAATTAGTAAATTATCAGTTTAACTGTGTTTGTTATAAGCCAAAAACATTCTAATTCTAGTTGTTTTCTTCAGTGTCCAAAACCTAGATCATTATATCGAATGCTCCATAAGGAAAGCTAACAAATACATTTGAAATAACAACAGGTGTGCCACAGGAATTTCATTTGTCGTCTTTAATATTTCAACCGGCAACTGACTTATGAGGACAGCAACTTCTATTACCAGGAATGGAATTCAGTGGACGCCTAGAAAGCCACTTGATGATCTGGACTTCGCTGATGATATTTCCTTTCTGTCTCACTCATGGAATCAGATACAAAATAAATTAAATACACTCAACGAGAGATCACAACAGCCAGGCCTAAACATCCACAATGGAAAAACAATGACAAAAAATGAAGCCAATAGTAGCGATGTTTCTCTTAATGATATACCACGCCAAAAAGCGGAGTCGAACATCTGTTTGGGCAGAAATGTAGACAAAGTTGAGTGAAGATGGTGGTTGGTCGTTTGGGGGGGGGGGGGGGGGGGGGTGGGGGGGGGGGGGGGGGGGGGGGAGGAGGTGGGCGATAAAGTTATAAAATACAAATCAAAAGGCAAGAGAAGCTTTCGTAGCAGTAGAGAATTTGTGATGGCCGAAAAAAATTTAAATTAATGCTAAACTTATAATTGTTAATGATAATGTCAATCAAAGCAGTTTCATGGAGCGGAAACATGGAGAACAACTAAGGAAATGACTAATAAACTACAAACATTCATTGACTGAAACTGTAAAGAATAGACAATTTAATGATGATAGAATACCTATGGACCCTGACGATATCGCAAGAGAACACTGCAGTGAAGGAAAAAGATCTAAATCTGGATGTAAAACATCCAAAGTGGCAAAACTGGCTGAGGACATGCTCTGTAAATACAGTAGAGCAGTGTTTCCCAAACATGTCTTAGTCGCGGCGCCTTTTTTTCAATTAAAATGTTTCTACGGCGCCCTAACCTAAGTAAACATATGATTACTCCGATGTAAGAGATACAAAAAAAAAAAAAAAAAAGTGTATCTTGGAGTATTTCGCGGCGCCCCTGTGAAGAGGTCGCGGCTCCTCGGCGCACAGTTTGGAAATCACCGTAGTAGAGAGAACCCAGGTGTCGGCACCTGGCATATTGATGAGAACCGAGCCCTATGGATCAGCAGAGGGTAGGAGGATTGTGAGCCTAGGTGCTGTAATGCTAGTTGTGCACGCGCCGTGAACCAAGTGTTAGGAGTTTTATTGTTGCGTCTGATAGAAATTACCTCCATCTATTTTTTTTTGGGGTATCCAGAAGCCATGAGTTGTAAGCCCTTTGGCTCGGTAATATGGATATCGCAACCCTTCGGCCTTAATTCCAATATAGGTAATCTGGGAGAAATGTGGCTTTTCTGCCTGCCCCCGGGAGTGAGCCCGGACCACAAGGAGTTCCGTCACCCGGCCGCCGCGAAAGTCAGGAGTGACCAACTCTGCTAGAAAGCCGGGGCCTCCATCTATTAACATAGACCAAGCTCGAGTCACGGGTATGAGAAACCAGCTTTCAAACAACTTGGCCAGACGCCCCTTAACATGCACGACATGCATTTAAGTGAATCTACAAAGAGGAGATTGCCAATTTTGTTGTTGTGGACAAGAAAGACAGCGGCGTCCGTGGCTTAGGCGTTGCGAGTCCGAGTCGTAATTCCAACGTACCGATATCGAAACCCACTACTGTCTGCGTGAATTTTTATTAAAGTATAGGGCGTCGCAGTTCGACCCAGCCTAAAATGGCTACCAGGATTGCTGTCTCGGGAAAGTAAAGACGGCCGGCGTAATGCTGACCACATTACCCACCCAGTGCCGATTGGTCTGCAAAAATGTGGGACGCTCTTCCAAAATGCCTGAAGCGTTTAGGGCGTGAAAAGGGATCTTTTACATTATTATTAATTTAATTTATTAAAAAGAAGAAAACAAAAGTCCTTTTAGCCAAGAAAAGCTAAATAAAAGTATCTGAAGTATTACGTATGAGAGAAAAGCAAAAACAAAAACCGGATGTAGTTTGTGGCACTGACCTGCTTTAAATGAAAATCTGTGTTGACAAACATTGTTGTCTTGGCAATGATTTCGCTGATCAGAAACGAGTCTCCCTCGAACCTTCCAGAAAAGAAGAGGGAAAATCCACAGTGATCGGATGTTTTATGATGAACAGTTAATTTCAAATTTGATTTAAAAACACAGACACAACAAGAACAGCAAGAACAAGAACAACAAGAACGAGAACAGCAACAACAACAACAACAACACCGCATGCTCTTCCTTAGGTTTATGGCCTCGTGGACAGCATACTTGATCAGCGCTAATACTACATTTATTATCCCCCCCCCCCTAAATACACGATCATTAACGCCGCTACTATTATTGTCACTACTACTACCACCACTACCATTACTACCACCACCACCACCAAAGTCACTACGACTATTACCAAAACTACTGCTAAAACTGAAACCCCTACTACTACTACCACCACTACCACCACTATTACTACTACTATTACTATCACCACTACTACAGTTAACATTGACACTACAGCAACAACAACAACAACAACAAATACTATTCACCCTCGCGAGTAACTTGACCCAAATCTTAGTAAACCCCCCCTTAGACGTTCTGACAATGTCACTCCAGCGAGTAACTTGACCCCCCCCCCCCCCCCCCCCCCACTTAGCAACCTTACGTTCTGACAATGTCACTCCAGCGAGTCATGAGAAACTCCAGGACAATCATCCTGGACAGTGGAGTCTTCGCATAGAAGCCCATGATTGAGCGGACATTCTGAAGCCGGATCTTGTCCTTATTGAACACCCAGTCTATGTATCTGTAGGTAAACGAAAATTAAAGGATGGTATATTATAGTTAAATATAGAAAAATAACATTTCGCAGTGGAAAGTTAGAGAAACCACTAAAGATTTGGACTGAAAATTAAACATTCATGAAGATTAAATTGTTAATTAAAATTAACTCAAGAAAAGCTAAGAAATAAGAGATATGCCTTGACAACCGCTTGTATCATCAGTTCAAGATAAAGAAGATGGCAACATACTCAGCAAATCATGAAGACATGCAGACAGAGAATCTCCAAGCAAACACCGAAAGTGGGAAACAGGTGAAATGAGGAAACGAGAACATCTAAGAGAGACGTTGATGAGAGAGGCCAAGGGTCCTGGATGGGGTTCCATCAATGATACTGAAAGGACTGCATGGGATAGAGCAGGATGGAGAACTATATACTGCGAGCCCTATGAAGAAATACCGCACAACAGGATAATCATGATACGAGTAAAACAAAGTTCAAATCACAAGTACCGATAGGAGCATATAGTATAGAAGTGCATAGAAGCTAAGCAAAGCACAACAGAGGAAAGTTAGTCGATAGATCATCCTTACTTGTACATTGAACCAATCAGTCCCTTAATGCTAGGATCTTCTTCTTTGTAAACTTTACCACATTTAGCAGCTGGCAATACACGCCTTGTATTCGTTTATAATAATAATAAAATAATAATAATAATAATAACATAATAATAATAATAATTATTATAATTATTATTATGATTATATTATTAATATTATTATTATTATTATTATTATTATTAATATTATTGTGCATCCTGCATATAATTCTTGCCTGGTTCTCACCTATTTTCGTTTGCTGTTCTTGTAATCATAGCTACAAATTCAGTCATCACTCAGTTGTGGCTTGCGTACTGTGAAGGTCTGTGGATCTCCATTTCAATACATGTATCATTCATGTCCGGCTTGCCCACATCTTTATAATGTAGCACAAGCTGACCTCAACGTATTCTACACATCTGTAATTCACCAGTGTGTAAAGCAGTGGTCTCCAAACTCTTTCAGGTGGTGCATCCTTTGAGAATATGGCAAAGCCTAAGCCCTCAGGTTGAAGATCACTGGTGTAAAGTAAAAAGGACTGTTTTAGGCAGATGGGGGCTAGACGTATATTTTATAAATCTCGGTGGGTGATATGGTCAACATCTTGCCGGCCACTTTTACTTTCCACGACTTGTACCTGGCACAAATGTGAGGCTAGGTCAAACTGGGAATCTAGGTCATTTTTCACCACGGTATGAAAACGGACAATGTAACTCGTACATACCGCCACAGTAACCATGGTTTCTGGGTTTGGGCCAGACTCTCCAGCAACATGTCGCTTTCCGTAGTCACCTCGGTAGATGTGGTTTTATTCCAGACGTAATCCCACTCGACAACGCCTCCTTCTCGGATTCCCACGGAGTATATAAGCATCGAGAGGTCTGGTGGGAGCCTGTCAGAGTACAACCATCATTTCAATATTTAATATAATAATAAATACTATGGGGTTGTGGGGCGGAGAGAAAGGGGGGGGGGGGGGGCACGTCACAACGTAGTTCTAGTCATTGTCATTTAAAGAAACATGAAAAAAAAAAAAAAAGCTGTAAAACTTTTGTCAGTTTACAACAACTGAAAATTTGTCAGTACACAACAACAATGATACATGACAGACATTATGTACATACATACATACATACATACATACATACATACATACATACATACATACATACATACATACATACATATACATACATACCTACATACCTACATACCTACATACCTACATACATACATACAGACAGACAGACAGACAGACAGACAGACAGACAGACATACACAGACATACATACATACAGACAGACAGACAGACATACATACAGATACATACATAGACAGACATACAGACAGGCATGCATGCATGCATGCATGCATATGCATGCATGCATGCATGCATACATACATACATACATACATACATACATACATACATACATACATACATACATACCTACATACATACATACATACATACATACATACATACATACATACATACATACATACATACATACACATACATACATACAGACAGACAGACATACAGACATACATACCCAGACCTTCATACAGACAGACAGACAGACATGCATAATACAGACAGACAGACAGACAGACAGACAGACAGACAGACAGACAGACAGACAGACAGACAGACAGACAGACAGACAGACAGACAGACAGACAGACAGACAGACAGACAGACAGACAGACAGACAGACAGACAGACAGACGCATACATATTTTGAAGTAAATTAAGGAGTACGAAATGGATATGTGCTATCTCTCCTTCTTTTCCTAATGTACATTGACAGTATTATGCAAAGAATTCTGAGAGCGAAAATGGTGGTTGTGTTTCAGAACTGTTGTTTGCAGTTGACCAAGTATTAATAGCGGAAACAGAAGTGACAATAAGCTTAGAAAAGACAGAGACGATGATGATAGAAAGACAACCATAAGCCAAATAAATGAAAGTAAATGACACAGCGATAAAACAAACAAAAAAGAAAGAAGTGTTTTTAAATATCTAGAGTGCATTTTCATACCAAAAGGAAGAATGGATAGAAAAAATCAACACGATGTAATAAAACAAATCAGGTCCTGTTTTATTAAATCTCTTTTGATACATAGAAGAATGTATTTGTCTGCCAAGGCAGATCTAATAACAACACATTATTAGCTAGTTGTATGCTACCAGTGTAAAACTTGAATCCTTACTAAAACTAATGATCGCAAAATCAGAACAACAGGCATGGGGTGTCTTCTAAGAGCTGACATGAAGAGATTAATTACAAATAAAGATGTTAAAAGACTAGGGCTGAAACCATTTATAGAGTTTGTAAAAGGATAACAGATGAGATGGTTTGGTCATCTGATAAGAATAAACTTGAACTAAATACACAGAAAGCCAAGCTAAAGAAATTTAAAGGATAAACGATAAGGAGAGGACGGTGCAGAACATGGAACGAAAAGATAAAGAGCAGACTTAAGGAAATAAAAGACTAACTTTTACAACGCACTGAAAAGAGCATACAGCATATTCTTAGCCTCTATATTAACAACACAAAATGACTTAACGGTTCACAGAATGAAGACCACTAAAAGGCAAAATAACTCTAGGGACAAAAGGACAGCAGCACGGAAGACAAGACGAATGACGACAATATGAAGTACAGCAATACCAGATACAATACGAGGTACAACGCGAGGGACAATGCGTGGGACAACAATACGAGAGAAAAAAATTCACGAGGGACAAAATACCAGGTATACTACAAGGGACAACAACACGTGGGACAACGAACCTGTTTTCAAGCTTCATCCAGTTGGCAAACATGGACTTTGCATAGCTGACTGCGTTCTCCATGCCGATATCGCAGGCCAATGTGAGTATGACGCGGCGCAGGTATCTGTTAATTTATGACTTGTGTATTATACATAAAATATATTATATGTTGTGTGTATTGTTACAAGTGCAGAATATACCTGTATTACTACACGATCTAGTGCAGTGTTCTTCAACCTTTGTTCGCATACAAAAACTTGTGGATCTGCTGGCCGCTAACGCAAAAACAAAACAAAAAACAAATCTAGACAGCATTTGATTTATTAGAATCAACGTTACAAGACTACAGTTTTTAGCTAATGCGACATCAGAAACTGCTTACAGGATAAAAAATTGGCTTTGTTTGTGAGAGATAAAGTGCTGCAAAAACATATTATTCGATACATCTACTTGGTTTCAAATTCTGAAATTGCCGAAAATATCCTCTTTTTTTCACACAAATAAAAAGGCGGAAAAAAATGAACCCAAAAAAAAAAAAAAAAAAATGCTGTAAAACTCAGAAATAAATATTAATCCTTTCGACAACAATGCATTGTACGAATCATGTTGCTGCCATATGACTGGGTGGACATTTCTGTCTGCTTGCCAGGATCCGTGCTGGACTGCAGAACACAGGCTGGAGAACATCGAACAAGTGTAAAGCAGCCTGAAGTAAAGTATATGACAGCAAAGTCAAGCAAGGGATAGCAATCGCGGTTCGGGTAAATGCTTGAAGTTGTCAGGAAAAATGCGTGTATGAATTCGCCAATGAAGACAAGAAATAAAAACTGATATCACAAAAATATGGTCCGATGTGTTTATAATTTTTTATTGTGTGTGTTATTCTACCTATGCTAGAATAATATAAATTTCTGGAACCTATGGTGCCATTTCAATTGTTTGAGACGAATTCTGCCCGTATTCCATTCGTTGTGGATTCAAACTTTGAGACAGACATGACGAATGAAGACACCTTTTTTTTTTGGAGTGTCTAGTAGGTCGTACGTCTCAATACACTTGTTTTTGCTTCGAGGCGCTGTGGTCATTTAGAGGTCAGAGGTTCGATTTCGACATGATAACTATAGCCTTCAATTCTCATGTTGTCTAGTGTACCCTATATCTTTCTTCTTCTTTCTATGAGTGTCGATCAATGTATCTTTGTTTGTTTCTTGTTTTCAACGAAGAGAAGGGGCATTCTTAAAATAATTTTTTTCTTACAGGTATGTGCATGCTGACAGATTGACAGCCAGTGACTTGAAGCTTCACTCTATGAATGTGATCAGTTGACGGCTAACACAGACACGAAAACACCAGCAATGAATTAATTACGCAATAAATCCATATCACTGAAGGTAAGGAAAAGAATTTTCTCGTGCTATATAGAGCCAATTTTAGTATATGGCTCTGAGTCCCAAACAATTAATAAACAAGACGAACAATTTTTTGAGAATTCAGAGACGTGGTTTTACATAATAATTCCTAAAATTCCTCGGACAACCAAAAAGCAACCCCAATCTTTTGAATGAGGCGAGGGCTCGAAGACAACTTATCATAAACATCAGAAAAAGACATTCATCATTTTGCTATCCTCTCATTAGGAAAAAGAAAACTGAAACATTTTATGATTAGTGCAAAGATCTATGGAAAAGAGACAGAAAAAGACAGCAACAGAAGATTCTTGACAGCCTTTTATCAGGGCATGGAGGGTGTGAACACACGAGTTGATGCACGCAGTTGCAGATCGCAGGTTGTGGAGAGGCATGATCGTCCACGCCAGTCATGAGGTACTTGACTCCATGAATGTAAATCGAACATGAGCGCATACTAGCAACCCTGTTCAACCGTATACAGGTTATACGGGGGCATTCGACGGCTAGAAAGTAACCTGCTATCTGCGGTGGGTGGGTAGGATCAAGTACTGACACATGACCAGGCCCGTTGGTGACCCGTTACAGCTGCCTTGCAGGGTGAAGGAGGCATACCATTAATCGATTAACTCTACCAGTACCAGAAGAAAGTTTCCCAGTATTAGCCAGTTTAGACATTTCCGCGTTTAAAATTAATAAGTGAGTTACTTTGAAAGTGGTGATATAACAATAGTGGTGACCATTTTACAAGCCATATTTCTTGAGCGTGTTCTGATCAAATACAAGAGAGTGTATTAAGCTAACGAGGGGATTGAGCAAAGAGGGTGATTCATACATCATGAGTTGTTTGGGACTCAAGGAGTTAAATGTCTTGCCTTAAAGGGTGAAGGTAAAAGCCACCCAGGTATTTGTCTTTTAGTCATTCCTTCGTCCCTTTTCCCTTTAGTCTTACGTGTTGTCACCAAATTCTAGAGGCTATTCCTTGTCAAGTGATGCAGAGACACAACAAGGGCAGTAAATATTATATATTTTTTGAAAACTTGTAAAACCTTACCTTTCAGGTAGCTCCCCTTTATCAGAGGCTCCCACAATGTCGAACACCGGGGTCACCAGGTCTTGTATGTAGGCCTGCAAAAGTGAACAGTTTTGAAAAAATGTTTGTCTCCTTTTATCTGTCTTCATATCTTACTGTCTTTCGTTTTTTTACTTTTTACCTTTGTCATTTTTTTTTTCGTTGGTCGGTTAATGAGAGATTTGTTGGGATCTTTGCTGGAGCTACAGAGTTCGTGCTGCGTGTAACGCTCTCAACAGGCGACTAGTCGTCCTTCGGAAAGAGACCAAGCAGTATGGGATTTTCTCCACGCAATGAAGACGATCCTCTCGACAGTAACTACTTCAGTAGCGAGGAAGATTCATTCGCATTTGTAAACGTTAGCAGGTATAGATTACACTGGAGAGGGGCTTGTGGGATATTTTTTTCCTCGTCGCTTCCCTGCTGAGAATATACATTCACGGCTAGCTTTGTAGTAATAGTAGCTGGTAGTTTTCACACGTTAGGTTCTGCACGAGGGACGTAAGTATGAAGCTAGCTAGTTCTTTTCCATATGTTCGAGACGTAAATCCAGCGGTGTATTTATAATAAATAGTAAACTGTAAAAATAGTAAAAAAAAATTCTTTAGCAACGGAAAGTGTAAGCAGCCATTACATCTGTTATATGCACGCTTCGCCACTGACGTACGTACCTGTAGCTGGATGTAGGCTGCCTTGGTGACGATCATTCCTTTGATGAAGTCTATTGAGTGTTGAAAGGCTTGCCAGGGAATGTAACTTTGCTCTTTTTTCAGGTACCTTGTCAGGTTGAAGGCCACATCATATTCTAATATGTTGGCTCTGCAAAGAATGATGTAATAATTTAAGACAGTGGTTCTCAAACTATGCCCATCTGAGCCCCAAGGATTCCGCGTACATTGTTCATGGGATCTAAGGCCACTCCGAAAAAAAAAAAAAATAAAAAAAATAATGATGACATTAAAAATGAAGAAATATGAAATAAAATCTGCCACACTAGCTTCAGAGTTATTCATAACTCTATTTTCAATTTCATTCTTTTCAGGACGAAATTTTTTGTCATTTGAAGCCCTACTCTGGCTTCTGCCAGGGGCCGCAATATAGGCAGGCCATACATATGGCCAAATATCTGAACGCGGTTTCTGGGACCTCTCCACGGCGATCCTCATCCACATGTTGTCACTTTGTGTCATCGGGTGTTTATCGCTTGTGTGATGTCCTGGTGGGGTAGAAAGTCAGTCAGTCAGTCAGAGACTGACCAACAGCAATTTTAAGCAATGTACATCCAAGATGATAGACATTGTGTTTTAAATCCATTGCTGCTAACATTCATTGTGGAGACGTCACCTCACTGATGGAACCATATTATAAGATAGTTGACATATCTTAGTTTACTTTCTACGAAACGAAGACAAACGATGACGTAGAAATACAAAGATAAATAATCACCTAGCCAGGGCAAAGGCATCTCCTATGAGGCCGGCTCGATTGGCTTCTGGGATTACCTGTGAAAAAACAAATATGTCGTTGACATCCAAGGAATGCTTACATACTGATAGTGATGGGAACATACAGAAACAAAGAAATTAATTAAATTGCAGAGCACGCAAAAATATGTCTCTATAGATGAAGATATAACAAGACAGAGAAGGTGAGGTGAGAAAAAGGAAGTGAGGAAGGTAAGAAGCAAATGATAAGAAATTAGGTTGTGTAAAGGCGTGTATGTGTTGTGAATATGTGTGTGTGTGTGTGTGTGTGTGCACATATATATATACAATTATATATATATATATATATATATATATATATATATATATATATATATATATATATATATATATATATATATATACATATACATATATATATGTCTGAATGTGTGTATGGGTATGTATATTACATACCTATCCCCTCCCCAGCTACCCACACTAGGTACTAGAGTAGTCCCTATATCTACTAGAACCCCTGTTCTAGATTAACACCAAAGTTCAGGGCTGGAAAAGAGACCAAACTTTCCGCCAGTTTAGAGTGGATCACCGCGAAGAAGAAGATGAAGAAGAAGATCTAGAGATCTGACATACTGACGCACTTCAAAATCTTCTCCTTGGATCCGTACTCCCTCAGCTGGAATCACTTCAAGAAGGCCAGTTTGGGAATAAAGCACAAATCGCACTTTGAAGTTCTGCGACACATGTCGGAAAGGGATGAAGCCTGACGAGTCAGATAAACGGTGTTTGGATTTTAGATGTTTCGTTCTTTTAGTTTGAATAAGCCACGTCCAACTTAACCTCTGACCCGGAAGCTAGCCTCGTCCTAGTTAATATCGGTTATAATTATAGCAACAACTTGTGTAGCCATTTCATTACTTGGTGCTTGGCGCTAGTTTTTCGTGTCTTCAGTGACTACCTTGCCTGCCATGCCGTGTCCGTCTCACTGTGCAGGCTTGCATCTGATAATGTGATGTTTTAATTTTTGTACCATCCATTGCTGGGGTTACTGCCATTATTTGGACTATCCCCTGAGCTGTTCATGGTCATACTATCGTATTAGTTCTTTGTGTTGTTTCAGTAGCTGTCATCTCTATTGTTCCGCAATTAGGTCCCCCTTTGATTCGGCGATCATTGGAATGTCTGCGTCAACGTTATGGGTATTTCGTCTTCTTCTGTATTGTCATCTGGGCGAGGCTGCTGAAAGGGACTCGAGCTGGCTCTGGACACAACGGAACGTCGTGGGGTACGGGCCTCGGTGAGCTGGTCTGGGTATCTATTGAAAAAGAAAGTCTTATCCCTTAAAGTCCGAATTGTCTGCCGGTGTCCCTCTGCCATTTGTCAACAAAGTCTAACATGTGCCCGATAAACCAACCGTAAGCTTGCCACTTGGTCGTCCAGGTATTCTGACTGCTCTAATTATGCTACCGCAGCGACTATGTAAATAAACTTCGAATCTCACAGTACCTGTTGCAAAGTCACCAATTTCGTCTTGTCCCTGTCCTAGAACATCCGGTAATAGGTGTAGCAGAAGCAAATCAACCCTGAGCTTCATGAACTCAGGTGGGCCCAATCTCTGAGATTGTCTAGGAGCTCGTGGACCGAAACATTTGTTGAAAAGGGATCACCTCTACTGACGATTGGTAGACTCCTGCTGTACATGCTCCCCTGTGAAGTTTCTTCTTACTTATTGTCATTGGAGATACTCCAGGCAGTCTTTCTCTTGCTTGCTTCAAATGTTTTCTTTTGGACCTGGTTTATTATTTTGTACTTACGTCGGATAATATAATATTTACTCTGTTTGTTGTCGCTGCTCCTCAAGTCCTTTATCTAAAGTCCGTTTGGATCTTCTCACCAGCTCTTTCCTGGCTTTCCCTGGTACACGTGCTCTGCCTATCTTGCTTGGTCTTTGCTTTGGCTTTTGAGTTTGTGTTTCGTTCGTTTTTCTGTCTGAATGAAGAGGTCTCATATCCACGATGTTTTTTATTCTTCGCTGGTCTCGTTGGTTCTTTATGCCATTGAGTAGAGCCACTATTAATTTTTTAAAATCTTCTATTAAAGCTACCTGGGGTAGGAGCCTGTCCTACTACTTGGCGCGTCCACCAGGTGGCGTATGGTGAAAATGCCTCTAGATATAGAGGTTAGCCACGAATATACTGAATAAGTGGCCGTGGACCAAACACGACCGGCTGAAGCTGACGGGCCTTGCTGCTGATGTCGCCGGGTCGGGCTAACTATGCGTTAACGCAGCGGTTCTCAAACAAGAAATAAACTATTTTCGACAGTGACGAGGGAAGACAACTTAAATTTTAATTTTAAAGTATCTACATGCGTTCTTTAATAATTTCACAATTTTTAGCCGACTTTTCTTGATTTTTGCCGCAGCACCCCTGGCATACGCTCACGGCACCCCAGGGCGCCTCGGCATCCAGTTTGAGAACCGCTGCGTTAACGCGTCGTAAGCCCGTCCCAGGGACGTCAGCAGCACGGCCCGTCAGCTGAAGCTGGCCGTGGACCAAAACAGGTGATAGTCGTTGAGAGGATGTGGAACAGCTGACTCTATAAAATACCTCAAACACCTACCATGCCTCGAAACTTAACGAATTCAGAAAACAACGAGAATAGGGATTTCAGTGGAATCACCTCGTCCGGTAGGGAGCATCATGTTCAACGGTTGATACCCGACCGTCATCCGGAGACAGTCATAATTTTCGGCCATGTTATGAGAAGAGGGGAAAAGGAACATGTTGTGACTACTGGAAAGATGTGTGGAAGGAGGAATAAAGAAAGACAACGAGAGAAGATTCTTGACAGTCTTGCTGCATGGCATGGAGGTGTGTCAGCGCACGAACTGATACATGCTGCAGGAGATCGCAGATTGTGGAGAGGCATGATCGCCCAGGCCAGTCAGCAAGGCATCTGATGATGATGATTAAAGCTATTTATTCGCCACCTGGCTTTAAACTTCTAGCGTGGTCAAAGCATATAATAATATTTGAATATCGTATTCTACTAATCGTAATCCATGTGGATGTGGAAGGCAACGGGAAACCACCACATTATATTCCCTAGACATCTCATGAAGTAACACAGACGTGACTTGTGGCACCAGATCGTCATCAGGTTACTGATAACAATTTAAAAAAATGAAAATTGAAAGTGTTAAACTAGCAGCTTGGAATGTGAGAACACTGGCAGAACTGTGAAAGACAGAAAATGGGATAAAAGAAATGGATTGTATGAAGATAAACACCATAGGAATGAGTGAAATGAGATGGAAAGGTGCTGGAAAGATCAGAAGAGATAAGTCCACAATAATATATTCAGAAAGCTTCAAACATGAAAAAAGGTTGGGGGTACTTTTTGATAAGGAAACAGCAAAAGCAATTGTGGGTTACTGGAGTATATCAGATAGGGTTATTATGATTAAAATCAAAGGCAAACCAATAAATATCAACATAATACAAGTGTATGCCCCAGCATCAGTTAGTAGTAAAGAGGAAATAGAACAATTTTACGAAGACTTAGATTTGGCAATAGCCCAAACAAAATCACAAGAAATTGTAATAATATTGGGAGATTTTAATGCAAAGGTGTAGGCGAAAAAAATATGATATGATAATTGGAAACACATGGTTTAAACAACATAGGAGAGGACTACTCACGTGGAAAAGTCCAGATAAGAAAACATTCAATCAAATAGATTATATACTAATTAACAAAAGGTTTAGAAATGCAATAACAAATGTGAAGACAAGACCTAGTGCTGGCTGTAACAGTGACCGCGTCCTGTTATATGGAAAATTAAATGTACGACTGAAGAGTGGAAAGAAAGCGGTGAAAACTATAGACTAAACAAAACAAAACTAAACCTTAGCGGCAGATTCCAAGCTGATTCTGTGATTAACAAGGCCAGAAAGGGTTTGGCTGCAATGAGAGCTATGTCATGTGTGGTTCTCTCTGTCATAGAATATGCACTGGAAGTCCTCACCCTCAGCAAGACACAGATCGACCGACGGGAAAAGTTACAAAATGAAGCAATGCGCATCATACTTGGCTACACCAAACACACCTCATGTAGAGCATTCAGATCCCTACTAGATCTTCCAGATATAAACAGCAGGCTAGAAATGCGTCAAGCGTGAGCCTACCTCAGAATCACTGAGGACTTTACACACCCACGGCACGATGAACGAAATACATGTAAAGGCAACAAACTTAAACGAGGCCAGGCTTGGTTGGGCCAGGCAGAGACAGTACTTCAACGGGTAATTTTCCTTTAAGACACAAACCGTGGAGAGGAATGGATACCAAATACCAAGTGAATACAAACAGTACTTTGTCGTAGTTATCACTCTGACAAGACAGTGCAGTGATTTTGCACACCAATAATTGATGCAGAAGTAAAAAGGATTGGTGGAGGAACACTCATCACCAAAAAAGATGCTGTTATAATTACAGATAGTTCGGTGATTCGTAAGAATCAAAGGGAAAGCCAATAAAGAAGACAGTGGAGCCTTTGTTTCTACCACCAGCAGCATAAAAATGGAGGTCATGGCTGTGACTAAGGCCCTAGAGTGGCTGAAAACTCAAAAGTTCACCAACGCATGCTTACTCAGCGACTTAATAAGCATGCTAAAGAAGATCAAGGCGGGGCAAATACGGTAACAGTGGCTCCAGCGCGCAGCATTTTGAAAAATCACCTTCATTTTTGTCCAAGGAGATGCTGGTGTGAAAGGCAATGAGAGAGCAGACACTCTGGCTGGCAGTGCGACTATCAGGGATGGGCCATCTATGGACAGGAGAGACATCAGCAATGCCAAACGAGGGACTAAAAGCTGTTTCTTCTTCTTCTTCTGCGTTCGACATCAGTTATGCTAAACATTGAGTCCCGTCTGGGTCACAAATAGGATTGTGCGTTTAAGGTCGCCACCGGTCTCCCATAGCTTCTCTTTCAATGTGGCTCCCTTGGGCACTAAAAGCTGTGAGGCTTTCGGTTTCGTGGGAAATGAACTTCT